AATATTTATATATTAATTTTTTTTATATTTTTTAATAAATAGTGATAACTTTTTAATTTTTTTGATAACTTTTTGATTCTTTAACTTTTTTTCCACTTGCCAAACTTAGATCAAGCCACCTCCTTGAGTTTGCTTGAAAGATTTATGTTTGTTTCGTTTGTAATTTTGAGGGATTTTTTTCATTGACCATCTTCAAATTTTGATGTTTTTTTTATTCTTTTCATGTGACTTAGGCCTCATTTGGGAACAAGCTAATTTAGTAACTTTTTGGCTATTTAAGTTAAAATATGAGCTAAAACAAACTAGTATGTTTGGGATGACTTTTTGACTTTTTACGAAAAGATGTACAAAAAGTAGAGAGAAAAGAGAATATTTGACTTTTTGGTATCAGTTGTTGGCTTTTCGACTAATTTAGTAACTTTTTGACTTTTTGGCTAAAAATAAGGGTTCCCAAACAAGGCCTTAAAAGAGTCTTTAATTCTGTGTGCGCATTCAAATATATCAAAATAAGAGTCAAGCACATTAAACATGCTTTTGTAAGGGATGATACCACCACACCACCATCTCTCCAGTGTAACCCATTCAATATAGATCAACATCATTTCATAGCGAGGAAATACATTTGATTTCGAATTTGATAATGTTGATTTGGTTATGTATTGAAAATTATGATGATTTGGATTTGATTGTACAATGTGTTTTGAGAATTAGTATTTGATGGTGGGGTAAGGCTATGAAGACGGAAATTAAGCCACGATAGTAAGGTGAACTAAAAAGATGGGGAAGATGTGATAAAAGGGCGTATTATACTAATAGAATAATGTTGGAAAGTAACAAATTCTTTAATGGTGACAGATTTTGAAGGCATGGTACCTCAAATTCACCATGATTAAATTCATACCTTCGAATAAGACTAATAAAATCCTTTTTATTTTAAAACGAAACTCTATAAGAGGCCATCATAAATAATTTTTAAAATCTCAAAAAAATCTGTACTAAAAACCATCCCCAAAGTGGTTATGTTGTAATTTTCTCCTAAGGGCATCTCCAATGGTTCACCAAAAAATTTCACCAAATCTGAGTAACAATATGATCAATTCCTCTATCTAATATCAGTCACTCCAACGGTGAACGACTGCAACTTTTAGCAAAACACAGGATGTCTGGGCGACGATTGGCCGGTCAATCGGCAAGAGCAACAAACTATGGATTTAATTCTACATTGGTTTAACCTTTTGCAAGACCATGAATACATAGAAGCCATGCCTTTTTGCCTCTCAAAACATTAAGCCTATCAATCACATCTACAACACCACACAAATTTTCAACACTTGAAAATCAATCACAGATTAAAGTACATAAATATATAAATGTGTGTGTGTTGTATCTTTCAAGTAGATAAGGATGTAATTTTGGCCTGGCCTGGCCCGGTCCATGTCGGGCCTTGCGGGCTCCCGTTAAAAAATCGAGTCGGGCCGGGCTGGACCATAGGCCAGAAACTAGGCCCAGGGGTATTCGGGCTTTGGGTGGGCCAGTGGGCCGGGCTCATGGGCTTGGGCTTGGGCCTGGGCTCGAGCTTTGGGCGGGTTTGGGCGGGCCTAAACAATTTTTTTTAATTTTCCCACCAAAATTTTATTATTTCCATTTTAAAAAAATAGGCTTCGGGCCAAGCTTTTGAGCGGGCCTTGAGCGGGCCAATAGGTCAGGTCGGGCTTCAAAACGATGTCCCAGGCCCTAGCCCTAGCCCATGGCATCTGGCTGGGCTTGAGCTTGGGCCTTAATGGGCCGGGCCCACATCGGTCCACGGCGCGGGCTTTGGGTCGCCCACGGACCACGTGCCAAAATTACACCTCTACAAGTAGAGGCCATCTGGTGAAGAAAAAAAGACTCCGATGAAATGTGGAGGTTCGAGCTGTCGATTTTTGTAGAGATAGTAAACTATAGGGACTTTCCGAATTTGCTGATACTTGGGACACCTGTTAATGCAAACTTTTGCCCTTTCCAGACTCACTTGCTGGAACTTCTTCACACATCCCTCCATTTTCAAATTCGAAGCTCCGGACAGATTGTCTTCAAAATCAAAGTATATTAGATTTGAGAGAAAGCTCGAAAAGATTAGTTCTAGCAAAGATGAATAGTGAGAATTACATAGAACATGTGAAGAATTGCAAAGATGAGTGATACAAGAAATAAAGTGATGGGTCAATGAACGGAGTAACCAACTTTGTGGCTAATTTGGGTATAAACCATGGCTTTTTCCACAAAATTTTCAACCAGTCGAATGATCGGAGGGACAATTGGCTAGATATCTGGCTGATCATCCGGTGGATCTTACTTCCAACGTACGCGCACAGTAAATTGGTGAACGCTGGCTCAGATCCTTAGTTTGGTGAAAAATTTAAAGCGTTCTCAATTTGATACAGTTTTGATAAAAATCGTTGGAGACTAAAAAAGTGTCCTTTTTCACTAAGGCCTCATTTGGGAAGTAACATTTTTAGCCTAAAAAGTTAAAAAGTTATTAAAAAAATCAAAAAACAAACAACCTATACCAAAAAATTAAAAAATTTCTTTTCTCTCTATTTTTTGTAGATATTTTCGTAAAAAATTAAAAAGTCATCCCAAACATACTAGTTTTTTTATATCATATTTTAGACAAAAAGTCAAAAGTTATTAAAAAATCTTGTTTCCAAACGAGGCCTAAATTCAAATTTGGTGATAAATTTAATTAAACGTTAGAGATGGCCTAAGGAGCAAATGTCTAATATATAGGTCCCATTTGAAAGTTTCAATTTATAACCAAATAAATAAATAAATAAATATTAATTATTCTTTTTATTTTTTAAATATCTTTTCGTAAAAAATTAATTAAAAACAATCAATAATCAATTACCAAACGGGCCATGGGCCCATAGGATCAAAACCGATTTCCACTGGCCCTTTTCTGGCGGGCAGGCGGGCGGGCGCGCAGCGATGCCTCATATATATATATATAGATCAAGGGTTTCATTGTCGGCTAGGCACACTACATAAATCACAAAACTCTCTACACCTCGAACCCTAAAAATCAAAGTTGTGTGTTCGTAGTGTGGTTTTGAAGAAGATGAACAACAAGATCATGCAAGTTCAGAATGTCCTCCATTATCGATCAGCTCCAAATCCTCTACAGGTTCTTTTCTCCTGTGTGTCTGTTGCATATATATATATGTGTGTGTGTGTGTGTGTGTGTGTTTGTTATAGTCATTGATTTTAGCCTTTTGCCTTCTTGTCTGATTGAGGACTCTCCCGATAATTTGCTCAATTTGATTTTTTAACTCACTCTCTGTACTGTCATTGCTTTGTTGCTTACCTTTTGGCGCTTATACCTTACTTGTTGCTAGGTTGAACCTGACTAGAAAACGGTTTGAATAAACAACTTTTGTGGTGTTTTATGTGGATCGTTTGTTCATCAACAATATGTTCGCTTGGAATACAGAACCTGCATTGGGGGAAGCTCGAATGTGTTTTCTTGTTTTTAAATTGTTACCTTGGATATGAACTTCTTTAGTGATGCCCAAATAGATTGAAATTGAAATTGAAAAATCATAGATAGAATTGATCAACGACGAATTGATAAACTTCAACGTGACCTATGGTATGATTCGTTGATGGTAAGACTGATTAATTAAACATGCATTTCTTCAGGAATTCATAAACCTTCTGTCTTTGAGTCAGTCTGCCCTACTGTTTTCTGTTTTCCCCAGTGTAATCAATAGTTTTTGCAATAATCATTATCTAGTAAGTTTGGAATAATGGACCACCAAATCTAATCAACTAGTGCCTCTGATGCATTCTTGAATATATATAAAAATATACATATTTGATTTCAAATTATTAAATTTAGTTTGAAGTATTGTGTACATGAATTTTGGTCAATGAAGTTGAAATGTTGATATTTGTATGGATAAAAAGTTAAACAACTCCAAAAGTGCCATTTCCTTTTCATATTATCGTGTTTCTTTCCTTATTAGCATTGTTTTTCCAAAAAGAAAATTCGTTTGTTGGTCTATCATCTCGTGGCTTTACCTCCTATGGGTTGCATGATTGGTCTTTTGCAAGTGCGACTTTGTTGTGTGAAGCCAAAATAATGTTCTCCTCAATACCAATGTAGCATTTATGCTGCATTTGGACGTTAAGGGAACAACATTGCTGTTAAGTTTGCCCATGTGCTCCCATGTAATGTGTGTTATATTTATACACAATTAGAATATCATAACAAAAATAAATAAATAAAAATGAAATCTATTGTGTCTCAGAGGTTGGAAATGTGGGTATGTAAAAGAGTTTTGCTATGTATACAAACAATATTTTTATACAAAAAAATTTATACAGAATAATGTGTTTTTTGTGATTTTTAATTTAAAAAATACTATCATCTCATCATTTTACATAAAAATTGTCTATAAAAGTTATGTTTACGCAACCATTTTTCTTTCCAAAACAGAAAAGAAAAGATGTTAGTTGAAACTAGGATACATGTTTGTTAACTTAAAGGTATGGCAATGCAAGGGAGGCATCATGAGCAGACTAGGATCACCTTTTTGCAAAGGTGAAAGTTCTCAAATCAAAAAGCTTTTTGGTTTTAGGCATGTGATGTACCTTTTATACCCTTTATTAGGATTATTAGTTTTGTGATTATCAATTTTTTTAGATTGTATATTCTATTTCAGATTTGGATTAATTCAAGATTATGAATTTTTTTTTTAACAAAATGGTATCAATATTGGCCCTGTTTGGTACAGCTTTTTTTCAGCTTATTTCAGCTTTCAACTTAATTTAAGCTATTTTGATGTGTTTGGTTTAACTTAACAATGCAGCTTATGGCTTTTTGTAAGTCAGAAATCAGCTTATTCTTTAAGTGTGGCAGGAGAAGCTTAATTTACAAGTCAGAAATCATCTTATATTCATAGTTATAAGCTATAAGCTGTTAAGGCATAAACTATAAGCACTTTCCCACAGCTCTACCAAACAGGGCCATTGTAATTAGCCAATTGGTTTGAATTTTTTTTTAATCTCTCATTTTGCTTCTTTAGCCGACCCCATTTGATGGGACTAAAGGCTTGGCTTGGCTTGGCTTGGTTTGGTTTCTCATTTTGCATCTTATTACCTCCTATTGCGATTCAGTATATGTTCAGATCTAAACCCTAATTTTGTTGGTCAAATTTGATACAACATAATGACAAAAAATGATTTATGTAACTAACCTAGAACACAAGACTTAATTTGATTTAGTTTGGTTATTAATTTATTTACAAAGCCATGTCCCCCCAAACTTTATGAAGCACTTATCTTCAAAGCCATCTCATAACTTGTGCTCTAGAGAATTTCAGAGTTTAGTGATGGATTGGCTCCAATAAGTTGTACCAACTTTTGTTTTTTTAACTGTCTTTACAAATGAAATGTCTTATAAGTATGGACTATGGAGGAGCTATCATCTGTGCCGCCGTCCAGGAATTGAAAATTCCAAACTCCTTTCTTTTGCTGGCATCATATCATAGATATAAACAGCCAAATGTTTGGCACAGATGAAAATGCCAAATTGGCGATCATGTCTACACTAATCAATCACTGAAAGTGACTTCCATCTCAATATATATATATATTAACGATAGGCGTAAATATGATGCGTTTATAATTTTATAATTAAAATTTAAAATGGTTTAGTGATTGAGGAATACTTTGATAAATGAGTAAAACATCTAATAGTTTTGAATGGTTTAATGAATAAGGAAATTATTCAGCAATTATTGGACGTGACATATACTAAAACGCGATTTCATTTCTTTTCCTATCTTTTTTTTATTTTTATTTTTATTTTTTGAGTTTTGAGTAGGCTTTAGATCTTTATAAACCTAAAAATACACAAAGTCACAATGACATTAGAGCCTATGTAATCTCTTGAATTCTATTTTAGCAAGCATACATAATAAAATTACCACCGTCCAATTTCCTATGCTTCTTCAATATTGTTTTCAACTGAGCTAATTAATTGGTCTATACTGACAATGATTGAGAGGTATAGATTTTCTTGTTAGCTCTTGCTTGAGGAAATTATGCTGATATGCACTTTGTGCGGCTATTATATAATAACCAACCAAAGCGTCAAGTCCTCTGTGATTCTGACACGTATATGGTGGATCAGCTCCTCTCCTCCCCTCACTGGCATTATAAATAGCAGTCAGGGCCTCCAACCTTTGAGGCAAAACAATTCAATTTCCTCTGAAATAACTTTCCATTGTTCTCTCTTTCTCGCCCCCTAAAAAAATGTCTGGCTGTGGAGGGAACTGTAACTGCGGCTCTGACTGCAAGTGCGACAGCAGCTCCAAGTATATCTTTTTCTCTCTCCCAACCTTGCACTCCAATTTTCTTGCCATTTTTTTGTTTCCCTATAAAATAGTTTCCTCTCCTTACTAAAAAAAAGATTCAACATGTACATAAAAATTAGTATGTGTTTATGTATTATTTATTTCTTTATTTTGTGTGAAAATTTGTTGGCAGATGTGGGATGTACCCTGACATAGAGAACACCACCACTACAACCATCATCGCTGGCGTTGCACCACCAGTGAACATGTACGTATCACCTTCAACATTTCACGGAGTTTAAATTTTTTTGTTTTTCGTTTGGGAATAAATAAAAAATAAATTTGATTATGTACCTATACGGATATGGATTGTAAGTTGTGGATTTCTTGTAGGTACTCTGAGGGATCGGAGAAGAGCTTTGGAGCAGAAGGAGGGCATGGTTGCAAGTGCGGATCAAACTGCAAGTGTGACCCTTGTACCTGTTAAAATGAACAAAAATGGATCTCAAGCAAAGCAGCGATATAGCTTGACATGAATGAAAAATAAGGAGGAATGTCTGTGCTTTTGTGTTTATATGTTGGAAAGAGTCTTGGGGTATAAAGTACAATAAGACAGCCATGGACTTCTGAATAGTCCAACTGTTTGGATTGTGTAGATGTCTTTTGTGGCCACTTGTGAAGCATTTGTGTCTGCTTTGTGGGTTATGGAGTTTGATGTATGTCTATGAAAGGGTGGAAACAAACATGTCATGAATATAGCTCCTTCAATTGTTGTGTCATATATATGTGCATCTCTTTTGACAACTTGTTTTAAATTTTTTTACTACCTCGTGTGGGGAGTAGTTATTTTAGCCAAAAAATCAAAAAGTTATTAAAAATTGTCACATCATTTCTCTATTTTTCTGTACATCTTTTCGTAAAAAATTAAAAAGTTATTAAAATAGCCCGTTTCCAAACGAAATAAGTGAAAAATAAATATACAATTGTTTCAAACTTTCTTAACACATGTGCTTTAAGGGCATATGTTAACACTATTTTTTTTGTTGGGAGATGGTTTAAGGTTGTATATATATTGGTTTGCTCATGCAATGCCTTGCAAAGTTTTCTTGTTTGGTTTGTTTTTCAAAAAAAATTTTTGGAAAAAATTCTCTACAAATAAATTTTCAAGAGTAATCAAATCAAACAAATTTTTCTAAAAAAAATTTCAAAATTTTGTTTGGTTATTTACTTTCCAAAATCACTCTCTCATACGTATCAAATCAATTATTTTTTTTAGAACTCTCTCTCCAAAATAATTTTTCAAAATCATTTTAAAAAAATGCCAAACCAAATAAGTTTTCATACTTTTATCTCAAAAAATACTCTACAAATCTTGTTTGGTTTGTTTTTCAAAAAAAATTTTTGGAAAAAATTCTCTACAAATAAATTTTCAAGAGTAATCAAATCAAACAAATTTTTCTAAAAAAAATTTCAAAATTTTGTTTGGTTATCTACTCTCCAAAATCACTCTCTCATACGCATCAAATCAATTATTTTTTTTTAGAACTCTCTCTCCAAAATAATTTTTCAAAATCATTTTTAAAAAACGCCAAACCAAACAAGTTTTCATACTTTTATCTTAAAAAATACTCTACAAATACAAACCAAACACACCGTTTGTGTTTGAGCTCAAAGAAATAAAGCACTTTATATACTGTTTTTTTTTTTTTCTACGAGTGTTCCATCACCATGAAGAAATGATATACAATAACAATTGTGATACGTAGCCCGAAATTTTCGAGCTCGAATTTGTCTCGAATCCAAAACGACATCATTTTGGATATATATATATATATATATATTTTTCACTGTTTTGAAGATGAAGATGAAGAAGCAAGATAAGAGAAGAGGAAGAAGAAGAAGAACATCATTGACTACAACATCATCAATAGCCAACAATTTTTTCCCCTCCTTCATCTTCAGATCAGATCCACTAGAAAAAATAAAATAAAATCAACATCTTCATCAACACATCATCATCATCTTTATCAACATCATCATCATTAACACATCATCATCAGCAAAAAAAAAAAAAAAGAATCAGATCCGATTCAGATTCAACTCTAGCTCCGACCGCCATCACTGTCGATCTTCCTCCTCCGCCATCACCGTCTTCTTCTCTTCCTCCTCCTTCTCCCCAGCTTTTCTCCTTCTCTCTTCCTCTTCTCTTCTCTTCTCTCTTTTCTCTCTCTCGCCTCTGTCTTGTGTTCAAAAACAATAAAAGGAAGAAAGAGAAAAAAAAAAGCAAGAAAAGGAAGAAAAAGAAAAGAAAAAAAAAATGAGACCCAAAACGACGTCGTTTGGGGTTTCGAGCCAATTCGAGCCAACGATTTCGAGCCCTCAAACAATTTTCATACAATAAAGTTCTTACAACCGGACACAAGCTCTTCAGAGCAAATCTATTAAAAGCTGAACCCTTTTAGCATCACGAAGCACTATATTAAAAATCAACAAAAACTGTAAGTCTTAAGGCCATCTCTAATGTTTAATCAAATCCGTCATCAAATTTGAATGTAATGAAAAAGTACACTTTTTTGGTTTTCAATATTTTCGTCAAAATTGTAAGTCATCTCAAATGTTTAACCAAATCTATCACCAAATTTGAATTTAGTAAAAAATTACACTTTTTTGGTCTCCAATGGTTTCATCGAAACTGTATTAAATTGAGAACAGCCTAAATCTATCACCAAACTGAAGATGTTTTATACCTTTTAACAATTTATTGTACGTAAACGTTGAGTGTTGGACCCACCGGACTTCCCGCCGGATGTCCACCCAGTCATCCACTTAGTTGAAAAATTCAGGTCATTCAGGTCAATCAAATTCAAGTTCAACCCAGTTGAAGACTGCAATGAAAGATAGGGATTAACCCAAAAACAAGGTTTGTGTTTCAGAGAACAGAGTAAAACAGAGGAGAGAGAAAAGAATATAAAAGCTAGTTGGGGAAAATCGAAAATGGATTTTTTCAGAGAGAGAACAACGAATAAGAGAAAATGGTATTTGCTATTTACTCTGATTCTAGAGTTTAGGAAAGAGATTGAGTTAGAAGATGAGAGGACAAAGGAAGATGAAGCAGAAGTTGACAAGATCAAGCTTGTAGAAGCCACTGGCATGTTGTCAAAGCTTCCAATAATTGAACACAAGAATGCAGACATGACATGAGTGCAACTAAAGAAAAATCAGATGCAAACGAAGTTCCAAGTTGAAGAATCCAAAACTTCAGAAGCAATATCTGAGTCCGAAGTTCATGGTGTTGAAGAAATTCATGATTGGGCCAAGCCTGACTCTGGAAAAGACTCATATAGACGAAGTGGAAGAAATCAAAGAAGTTCCTGATTCAATTTTTGAACCTACCTATCAATGTGTCAAAACAGTCATTAATAGAGATATCACCATTAATCAAACTCTCCCAACTCAGATAAATGAGCAACTTTGGGAACCATCCTCAAATTGCCCAAGGAACAGAACCATGAAACTCCTACCATTGTGGTTGAAATAATAATTGAAGAAAGTGAGAGAAGATAGAGATGAGAGGATATAGAGAGAGAGAGAGAGGCACAAATGTTTCTGTTAATTGTACATTTATTACATAGAGAAGGCACTCTATTTATAGAGGATGCCTTGGATGATTACCCACCGAAAGGTGCTAACACTAACAATTAAATATACAAGACCCACCGAAAGGTGCTAACACTAACAATTAAATATACAAGACTAAAGCTAACACTAACAATTAAATATTAACACAATGCTAATGATCCACTAACATATACTACACTAACGAACACAATGATGCTAACACTACAAAACACAATGATGATGATACACTAACAGTGGTGTTGATAAAAGATGAGACCACAAAGAAAGATGAAACCCAACCGAATGAGATGAAACCCAACAGAAATTTTAGATTTTTCATATTTTGGTAATGGCCAAGTCAAAATTTTAATTTTTTTTTCAAGTAGTTGTTGTCTAGATGTAGAAATGTTTAGGCTCTTTGGTTTTCAGAATTTGTTTCCTGGGGAAAAAAAATAAAAATCATGGGTTTCATATGGTTTTACCTTTTTTAAGGGCAAAAATAATTTCTAAAACTTCAAAAACATATTTTTGATGTTTATTTTTGTTAAACCAATTTATATTTTAAAAAAAATTATAAAACTGATTCTGAAATTGAAAGCAGAGCATTAGTAGCTGTTGTATACTAAAAGGGTGATTATCCAAGCAAGCCAGAGTTCATCTTCTTGATACAGAACCTTTGGGTGTATCCAACCAATTTATACTTAATTGCTTGTTTTGCTACTTTGTTTCAGTGTTCTTCTCAAACATGTTGCACATAAAGTGAATACAACATAGAAGTAAGCTGTGTTTTGTGCCTATAATTTGTATTCACCTTTGTAATTTTTCACTGCTTCCATCTTTGGGTGCTCCTTCACTCTTTGATAGCTGTGTGCAGCGGCGGAGGCAGAAAAGTAGGTTAGAAGGGACACTTATTAATTATAATTTTTTATTTAAAAAAAAAATTATGAACAACATTAAGATAATAATCATTTTATGAGATAAATTTAAACATAAAAAATTACATATTCATTATTAATAAGAACAAATCAAAATTCTATAATAGTGTGTAATAACTCGGTATGAGATAATGATGTAAGTTTGTAATTTTAGCACAAAAAATTACGGATCAAAATTCCTAATTTTAAAAAATAAAAACACATCATTTATAGCACAAATTATTATAAAATCTATTTAATTTTTATTTGACAGAAAAATATTAAAGAAATGACATTACTTATAAATGATGTGTTTTGAATGAAAATTATTAAACAGTCTTAAAGTGCCATATGACGTTACTTACGTGATGTTCAAAGCATAGAAAATCACAATTCACACTAAGTAGTATGTTAACTACTTGAAAATAATACCACATAGTGTTCCCAAAGTATCAAATAACTACTTGCTGTGAACAATATAATAAATCATTAACCAAAAAACATGTTAAGAAAAAAAAGAGAACACATTTTATACATGACAAAAAAAAAAAAAAAATTGCAAAACTGAGGGGGAGGCACGTGACCCCCCTCGGCCTATGCTGCCTCCGCCCCTAGCTATGTGGTGTGGTTGGTGTGTTCTTAAGTTTCTCTCTCACTGGTTGTAGATTTTTCAAATTACACTTGCCGGTTGGCCGACGTTTTGCTGACAACCAAAAAATCACCGTTGGAGCGCTGGATATTAGATAGAGGAATTTCTCAAATTTTTACTCAGATTTGATAAAATATTTGATACACTGTTGAAGATGTCCTAACAAAACAGCTCTCACAACCCGAGAGGTGACTAGGTGATCAAGCCACCTCCTTGAGTTTGCTTGAAAGATTTATGTTTGTTACATTAGCTAAGCATTCTTGCCTCGTTCGTAATCTTGAGAGATTTTTTTTCATTGACCATCTTCAAATTATGATGTTTTTTATTCTCTTCATGTGACTTAAAAGAGTCTTTAATTTTGTGTGCGCATTCAAACATTCAAAACAAGAGTCAAACACATTAAGCATGCTTTTGTAAGGGATGGCACCACCACACCACCATCTCTCCAGTGTAACCCATCCAATATAGATCTACATCATTTCACAGTGGGGAAAAATACTTGATTTGGGATTTGATGATTCTAATTTGGTAATGTATTGAAAATTATGTTTGAGAATTAGTAGTTTTTTATTTTTTATTTTGGTTACAGGAAAATCCTCC